TCATTGGTGCCTTAGCTTCAGGGAGAGACAATATCCAAATAAAGGCAAAGACCTTCTCATCACTGCAGACCAGGCTGCACCTGACGAGAATCTGTTTGTTATGGCGGCTCATCACGTCCTCCAAGCTCCTCCTGGAAGTATGCTCGGGCCAAGCTTCAGGCAAAGCTCCTTCCAGGAAGCCAGAATCCCTCAAGTGGGCTCACCTACCTTCCCAGGGATGGGAATGGGTAGGCATTCACCTTCAGCACAAACATACCAGCTCCCTCAGCTTTTTCCCCAATCCCTAAGATCCCCTCTCTGAGGGATTTTGGGAATAGGCTCAGGGAAAGGACTGGTTTCTTCAAGTGTAAGGCTCAGAGTCCAAGAGCTCTCTTCTGGCCCTGTGTACTTCTCAGCAGATAAATCCATCCCCCTTCCCCTGTGCCGAAGAGATCCTTTGAGCGCTTTCATGCTTCTTGGAGAGTCCCAAGGGTGTCACAGAATAGTGTAGCCTGCGAAATAAAATTACTGCCTCCCGAAGGCTTCTTAGGCCATCTCATTCGCCCTCTCCTATGGCTATGGATCAGCCTCCCCCAGAAGCATGTCCTGCTGCCAAAGAAGCCCCCCTGGGGAGGGGCCTCCAGACCCTACCAGTTATGGCTGTAACTCCATTGTGCCTCCAGCAAAACAGCAGGATCAATTTAATGATTTTCCTCTGACCTAGCAGGTCCAGGGCTGCATTTCCTCCCATGCAAATTGAGGAATACAAGCTGCCTGTTGAGTGCCCCCCCCCCCCCACCTAGTGGAGAAAATCTACCAACCAAGCTTCCATATGCCCAAATGCCAGAGTATTTGCAAAATCGTTATTTTCAGATTCAAGGGAAAGCTATGGCCATGAACCTGGCCACATGTAGAAGGACTGAATGATAAGTGGCCAAGTACCCCCCCCCCCCCCCCACACACACACAATTACAAATCCCAGGCAGGTGTCTCTAAATGACAGTTCAGCTGGCTTAGAGTGGCCGTATCTGGTACCTAGCCTGCCCCTCTCTGTACCTCAAGTCCGCTTCAAGCTGTCCTCACCTTTACTTGGCAAACTATGATGGCCAAGCCCCTCCTCTGCTCGGTCTCCATCAGGATTACGATGACCCCATCTTCAATGAAGCAGAACCCGGTAACCTGCCTCCGTGCCATAGAAGCAGACATATAGCCGCCAGAGCCCCACCAATCTCCACACCTATCCAAGTATAGCGAGAAAAGAAACTTCTGTCTGCATGTGAGAACCCCATTGGGCCCACTGGGCATGTGCTTGCTCATGCCTAAGGGAAAGACATATGTCTCCTCCCTCTGCTCTCAACACCTGTAACACCAAATGTGTGGGTTTTCACACACGAAGCAATTCTCCAGTTCTCAGCAGATGCCAACGGGGATCCTACAATTTAACTCAATGTTGACACTAACTACCCAGAGTGAGAGCAGACCCCACAGGCTAAGGGCTTAGTCCCATAACACTGCCCCCCCCATTTCAGATGCCAATTCCAAGTCACAGGTTGTCACCTGTACCCTTGACTGAAGCCAGACTGACAGGAAGTCCCATGAGCCCTTCCTTGGATTCAATAAATTTGCCATAATGGTTCTAGAACCCAGGGAAATGGTTTACTCACTATTCCTGGTTTATTATAAAGGATGCAGTTGAATGAAGCAGATACCTAAGCCGAGGAGTGTGAAACTTCCATCCATGCCCTCTCTGAGGGTGCCACCTTCCAGTGCCTGGACATGTTCGCCAACCCCTCAGCTTTCTGGACCATGTAGTTTAGGGATTTTCATGGAGACTTCATCATACAGACAAAAGCACTTATTTACTCAGTCTCCAGCCCCTCTCCCATTTCCAGAGGATAGAGCATGAGGCTGAAAATTCCTCTGATCATGGCCTTGTCTTTCTGGTGACCAGCTCCTATCCTGAGGCTACCTAGGAGCCCACCAAGAGTCACCTCGTTAGAGCAAAAGATGCTCCTGCCATCCAGAAAATTCCAAGGGATTTAGAAGCTCTAAGCCAGGAACCAGAGTCAAAGACCAAATATTAGAAAAAAACAAAATGCTCCTAGCGTCCCTGTCATTCAGGAAATTACAAAGGTTTTAGGAGCTCTGTGTCAGGAACCACGGGCAGAGACCAAATATATATTTCTTATTATGTCACAATGCCCATTCTTTTCTCCATTTGAGAGGCATGTGAAGCCTCTCCCTTCTGTTCCCACAGCCTATAATAAGGGTGTCCCTGGACCCCTATGCACTATACCAGTACAGCACAGCCACTGAGCAGCCTTACCTGCTCCCCGTAACCATCCCTTAAAGACAGGCCTGAGAAATAGGGAAGCCCTGGAACAAAGGCAGGGTGGGGGAGACAGGGTGCCTTGGTCCCTGCTTTGGCAGGCCTGCCCTGGGGTCCCTCACACCTGCCCTCCACATCCTCACCCATAACCACCTTAGAGCAAATGTATCACTGAAGCCCCTGCCAGGTTGTCAGGAGCTACCCAACCCACGCAGCAGGTGCCCAGTCCTGGAATGAATAAAAAAGCTGATACAGAAACATTGTGGTCGGAATATCTGAGGGGTGTTCCCAATACAAGATAAAGGAGACAAATACTAATCGTGCCTGAGCTATGTGGATCTGTGTTTATTCTACCAAAACATACCCTTGTTTTACCCTCCTCCTTAGCGGGCTGCCCCAGACCATCACTAGATCTGACTTCGACCCAGCGTCCTGCCTGGCTGTGTCTGTGCCATGTTTCTGAACCCACCAGCAACTGGAGTAAACACAGACAAAACTTGTTGCCAACCCACACCCTGCCAGCAACAGCCATCCACTCCAAGCTGCAAAGATTTGTTTCCTTGGGATAAGAAAGCAACCTTTCCGGGATCTTTTCATTTAATTTTTATTTAGCTTGTATTTAATTCTATGGAAACAATTCTGGAGTTGTACGCAAATACAGCACAAGAAAGGATTTTTTTTTTTAGTTTATTTGTTTTGAGCGAGACAGAGAAAATGCGAGTGGGGGAGAGGCAGAGAGAGAGGGAGACAGAGAATCCCAAGCAGGCTCTGCACCATCATCATGGAGCCCGATGCGGGGCTCGAACTCATGAAACCATGAGATCATGACCTGAGCTGGAACCGAGAGTCACATGCTTAACTTAAGACTGTGCCACCCAGGCTCCCCTAAAGGGTATTTTAAAGTACAAGCAAGCATCTGTTGCAGGTCAATGCATTCCAGCTTTTCCAATGACATCTAATATCTGAAAAACTTCTGCAGGATTCTGGGCTTTTCTCCATTAACCTGCCTCTAGAAAATCATCATGTCTTTGAGTTTTGGATACAGGACCAGCCTATATGGAAATGGTTACAAACTCTTCAGTGGTGTGTTCAGATCATGGAAAGACAAAGGTGATACTCATGGTAACATTTCTTTATGGTGCAAAAGAACGAAATCCCCCTGATATTGCTGCTTGGACCCAGAAACTGTTGTTTCTGGTGGATTCTATGGCAGGGCTCCCTCAGCATGGCCGGCCCTCACTGGGGACCTACTACGTGCACAGCACCACCAACGCCAGCACAGTGAAGTGCTATGGGAATATCGAGAAGAAGAGAAAGATAGTCTGGTCGGGGATGAGGGACGGATATGCAAACCACTGACCTGCATGGAAAGCAGCATGAAATCAGTGCCCTTGGAGAGATTCAAGCGAGAAGCACCATGAAATGGGCCATTAAATTCATCTCCGTGAAGATAGCATTGGTGCTGAGTCTTGAAAGATTTGTAGACCTTTAATCCCCCGAAGTGAGGGCAGCATGCTTCAATGTGAGAGAATACTGTAAACAAAGGTAAAGAGATGTGAAAGTCGATGACTTATCTGAAAACCCCCGAGGTATCAGCTACAGCAAGCGCAGGGGGTGGGGGGCAACCTTCAGTATTTATTAAGAATTTCGTGGGGTCAGGAGCACGTTTCAAACGCAGATTATCCGGCACATTGCCAGATGCTGTTCTCCAGATCCCACTGATCCGAAATGGGGTAAGGCCATGTGAGAGATACAGCCGGGTTAGAGGACCAGTAGATCATACCTGTGTCAAGTCCCGAAATTCCAGGGTTGGTCTTATGCCAATCCTGGCTGACTCTGAAGGTGTTCAGGAACTAACTCTATTCGGGACTGGGAGACAGAACCAAAATTACGTTAAGAAGCAATTCTGGGTTCTTGAAGGTGAATAAGGGAAATGTCAGAAAGTACCTAAAATCTGTCTTTTGTTTTGTTTTGTTTTGTTTTGTTTTTGCTCTAGAGGAGTTTATGACACTGAGTATACATCAAAAAGACTCTTTAAAAAAAAAATAGCAAGTTTGTTTTAAAAGAGAGCTATCTGGGGGCACCTGGCTAGCTCAGTCGGTTAAACCTCCGACTCTGGATTTCAGCTCATCATGATCTCATAGTTCCTGGGATCGAGCACCCTGTCGGGCTCTGTGCTGACAGCATAGAGTCTGCTTGGGATTCTCTCTCTCCCTATGGCTCTGCCCCTCCCCTCACTTGTGCTCTGTCTCTCTCTCTCTCTCTCTCTCTCTCTCTCTCTCAAAATAAATAAACTTTAACGAATAGATTAATTAATTAATTAAAATGTAGCTATCTGGGCCCTATTTCAAAGATTCTGAATTAGAATTGGGCATGGGCACAGGTGCTACCTGTTACCAGCTCCGGTGCTAATTCTGAGGTACTACCAGGTTTAAGAACCTGTACCTTAGATCATATATTTATGTTTTGTGTATAATAAGGCTATCCAATTGTATTAAAATGTATTTATTTTGTATTCATTTTGATTTTGTGTCTTCCTAGAATTCTATCTATATCTGAAAGATGCCTAAAAACTGTATACTCGTGATACATACCCCTAAGTATATACAGGCATAGAACCTATATTTCTAATTGGGACACATGAGCTTTTCCATAAGCACTATTTTTTGAAATTTAACTCCAAATTAAATTAAAGAAATAGAAAAAGCTGCTGTTGTTCAGAAAACAAATCGTGCATTCTTTGCTTCTACAATAAACTTTTAAGAGAGTTTGTTCCTAGTGGAAATTCATTGTTACTAAATAAAAATCTTGAGGAAGAAAAAAATACCTTATATATAATCCACATTGGGGATGCAAATTGTAGAGAAACAGACACCAAAGGATTTGCATTTAATCAAATCTAAAGCAAGTCATTTCAGAAGCATCACTGACAGGTACAGAAGCCTTTCCCATCAGGACCAGGCTGACCTTTCCAGAGACTAGGATCCCTTATCAAGGAGAACACATTCACCAGATATCCTACATTGCCGTTAAGAAGGAGATTCACCAGAACCATCCAGAATGGAAAATGGTGAGTCACTCTCAATTATTAAAATTAAAAAAAAACTTTAATAATCCTAATGTTTATTTTTGGCATCACAAAGTCATAATGCAGAGCAAAGGGCAAGAAGAAATAGCCCTAAATTCTGGCTAGAACATATAAAAGTACAAAAACGCGACTAGAGACCAACAATTTAGAACTCTTGGTAACAATTTCATAATTCTTTCACATTTGGTTACTGATTGTTAGGTTTACTTTTGCTGCCTAGAGCTTAGGTAGCTATCTGTTTTGGAGACCAGCTCTACTGAACATCATTTTTATACAACAAAGACTTAGGTATTACAGCACTCTTTTCCAGGCGAGCGAAACGTTGTGTTAAATGGAACAACTCTCAGTAAGCTCTCAAAGTTAAGGAAGGTGCAGGAGAGGAATCCAGATTTATAGAGAACTCGAAAGGTCTTTTACTCATGCATCTTGATTTAGGTTCTTAGCCTAAGAATGGAGGGCGGTCCACATACGTGTGATAGAGAACAGCCCGAGCTGTTGTCTCATGCGTTCAAACTGAATATAGATCTTTCCCAGTTTGTTCACTCTTGAGGACACAAATGTGAGTGGCAACATGGAGTAAAACCCACCCATCCAGGAACAAATTTGAGATTAAAAAATTAGAATTTTAAGTGTTAACAAATAATGACAGAGTATTTCAAAAAATGCCTTGTGAGGTACCTTGAAGGAAAAATTGGTATTTTTTGTAAATGCCTCAGCTCTTCAAAGTCTGATCTCAAAAAATAAGCGGATAGAGCCATCACACAAGTGCATCCATGTGCTGCGGCACGGAATGGGTTATTGACACAAGTGTTAAGTTTTGGATGCAGCCGTGAGGCTTTGGGTGGGAGAAGGGTCGTCATGGGGAGGGGTCTGTGAGCGAACCGAACTTGTGCAAAATCCTAACATGCTAACTAATTTGGCCTCACTTAAAAATTTTAGTCTTTCTTTCCAGTTGAAGCTTTCATAAATAGTATATATTATTTTCTGCCTAGCAGTTGATATTTGAGCACTTCATTATTAATTGCTGAACTTGCCTTTCCTTGTATCCTTCTGGGGGTTTCCCATAATAACCCTGACATGACAGGAGCCCCACAGATCTGGAGTGGAATCACAAACACCAAGCCCCTAGAGAGTGTAGAGCTAGCACATTTTATTCCTACGTGGGTGTCTGCCTCCCTTCGGCAAGGGGGCTCTGATCCTCAGTGAGGCAGGCTGAGCTGGGCTAGGGCGGTGGTCAGGGGCCCCCGAGCCACACACCATAGGGACACCGGACTGTCCCGGACCTCATTCTTGGTACTTCGCTGGCAGGCCAAGAAATGGTACAAGCATGGATGTTGTCCATCAATTACCCATCATTCAGAATTTTTATTCTAATCTGTCTTGAGTGAGCATGTGCGAGCCCATCATCTATTATCTGAATTTTTCTGTCACCAAATGATAGAACTCAAAATATGAATTGCTCTTTCCTGAAGTTATGGGATGGTTTTCTATTTTATTCTCTGTTTGTTTGTTTGTTTGTTTCAAACGATCTCTGTTCCCTTACCTTAGATAACAAGCACCTGCTTAGGGACAGCAAAGAAGTGTATTCCAGACAGGTGTTATCAAAAATAGTAAAGTAGTAAAATAATACGGTGTTTACTCCAAATAAACACTATAAATGTGTTTTTTATAATATAAATTTAATATGTATTTTATTTTATATTTTATATATTTATATATATAACTTTATATATATTATATATTTTTATATATTTTATAATTTATATTTTACATTTTAAAATTTATATTATTTTGTTTTAATGGAGAAAATGTTTAATTTTCAAAAACAATTTTAAAGCAACAGTACCATTAAGTGTACTATGGGCCAAATTCTTTATCAGAATAGACAGCAATAAGGAGAGGACGTGACTCAGACAATTTGCTGCATGTACATAATGACAATATGGCAATACAAAAAACTTTTTTTCCAAATTCTAAAGGATAAGTTGATTCTTCATAATAAATTTGCTTGTGCTTTCTCTCCGGAAACACGGGTCTTTGTTCTCTCGACAACTGATCTGAATGCAAGTTTGTATCTAAGGGTATTTGAATAAAAACTCTCAAGCATCTCCTGGTTTATGCAGGTGTGGATTCTTTAAATAGACAATGCACATGGGGGGAAATGTTTGGGGAAAGGAATACTGATAGAATTTTTGACTCCTCTGTAAAGAGGGAGGGCAGGAAAAGTTAGAGAACTTTCCAGAATCCTCAAAACACCAAGAATAGTCCAGGTGACAGTTTAAAGAAATTGTACCAGGTTCCACTGCTTAATTAAAACTTATATGAGGGGCCCCTGGGTGGTTCAGTCAGTTGAGTGTCTGACTTTGGCTCAGTTCATGATCTCGCGGTACATGAGTTGGAGCCCCGCATCAGGCTCTGTGCTGATGGCTCAGAAGCCCCGGTAACAGGGTTTCGTCCCCCCTCTCATGAAAATGCTGTCTCCCACATTCTGAGAATATTTATCTTTCCAAACCTTATAGCCTTTCTGTGCTTCATTTTCCTCTAAGGCATTTTATTTACTCTACAAGTGTTTATTGATCATGTACTAGGTGCCAGGTTCTGGACACCACTGGTTATTCCTTTCTCTATAGTCCATCTTTTATTCACTTCCTTGATGCTAACACTCTGGTACATTACATACCTTCATTTTTTTTTTTTAATTTCTTTTTTGAGAGAGAGAGAGAGAGAGAGAGAGAGAGAGAGAGAGACAGACAGAGCGTGAGCAAGGGAGGGGCAGAGAGAGAGAGAGAGGGAGACCCAGAACCCGAAGCAGGCTCCAGGCTCTGAGCTGTCAGCACAGACCCTGATGCAGGGCTCGAACTCACCAACAGTGAGATCATGACCTGAGCTAAAGTTGGACGCTCAACCGACTGAGCCACCCAGGCACCCCAATATATGCCTTCATTTCTGACCTCTCCTCCCTACTTCCACCTTCCCTGTCCCCTGCGGTCCCCTGGACATCAGAACTGTAGCTGCCACTGAGGCTCAGTGCTTGGATACCTAGCCTCCTATTGCCACAAAGTCTTCCTTTGAGCCCTTTATTTTTGTAGTTTTGGTTACCATAGTTTTAAAGGTGTTTCTTAGAAGTGCTGGTCAAAGCCATCATCCTATCTATAGGGTATTTGAGTTTGATTATGCCAGCACAACCTCAAAGTCACCGTGTTCAAAACCGAACTCTTATTTCCCCATCAAAACCGACTCTCTTCCCTGCCTTCCTGATTGTTCTTCTTAATCCTGGTGGTCTTTTTTTATTGTGCATATGCATGTGTGTATGTATGTGCATGTGTGTGTTTTCTTTTGAAAGTTTTCTTAAATCTGTCTCTTCCTTGTCATTTCCACTGTCTCTGGTTAGCCTCTATTTTACCTTTTCCCATCCTCTGTGGTCCCTCGCCCTCAAACCCATCCTAGGCTCTGTCTTCAGATTAATCTTCCAAAACGGTATTCCAAATCTTCTCCGCAAATGATAAAATCACAAGATTCTCCTGTTCAAAACGCTTAGTGGTTTCCATCACTTACAACATAAAGTATAATTTTTCAGTCTGTTTTTCAAGACCTTCAACATGTTCGTTAATGTCACCACCACCCCTCCCCGACTCCAAAAAACAGGATGCTTTCAACAAATAATTAAGAAATAATTAAAAATAATTACTATGTGCCAGACACCATTCAGGCATTGGCACCTGAGATGTTTCAGTGAGTAAGAAAACAAGCAAATATCCCCACCTTCGTGGAGCTTACATTCTAGCAAACAGCAGACAGCAGTAGGCAATAAACCTAATGCATAAGGAAATTATATAGGCCATCGTAAAGTGACAAGTGGTCCATAGAAAGAAAAAGTAAAGTGGGGTGGGGCAGGTTAGGAGTGTTTCGTGGGAAAGATGCAACTTTAAATGTGTTCTCGTTGAAAAGATGACATTGGAGCCAAGACGTGAAGGGGACACAGGGGTGTAGCCACGCGGATAACGGGGGGAAGAATAATCCAGAGAGAGCGGACAGCCAGTGCCAAGGTTCTAAGGCAGAAGTGGTGTGCATGGTGCATTTCAGAGGCTGATGGGAGTACGGTGAGCAGGGCGAGAGTGTTGGGAGGTGAGATCAGAGGTATCGTGCAGCAAGGTTACCTGGGGCCATTCTAAGGACTTTGGCTTTGATTGAAATGGGGAGCCCTTTCAGTATGGTGTTGAGAAGAGAAGTGACACCGTTGTGCTTTGTTTTTTCACGGATCTCTCTGGCTACCGGGCTGAGAATAGACTGGGACACTGGGGGTGAGGGATGCTGAAGGCTCCTGCAGTAATCTACACGACAGATGGCAAGACAATAGCGGTGCAGGCGGGGAACAGTCGGCACCATCATGAGTTCCTCGAGGACAGCCTGTGAAGTACAAGAGGGAGCGAGTCCAGGAGGATCCCGATAGCTTTGGGAGTGAGTAACCAGCGGCGTGGAGGGAGTAACCAGCTGAGACAAAGGAGGTCTCCAGACGAAGCAAATGCGGAGGGGTGGGGGATGGAGTTCAGGTTTGGATGCGTGGGGTTCCCGATGTCCAGCAGACAGCTGTGTGAACGTGGACATCCAAGTCTAAAGTCCGGGCCGGATGGGTCTGGGCTAAAGGATGATGCCCATTTGAAATTCATCTATGTGGAGATGGCATTAACCCCCATTACTCCAGTTCCCTACCCTTTCCGCACCTGCCTTGTTCCTGCCCACCTCTGTGTTCCTTCATGCCGTGCCTGACGCCCTAGAGACCTTTCTCCCTGTCCCTAACTCATCCACATGCAATCATGTCCACCTGAATCACGTCCCTTCCCCCAAAAGTGTCACCGACCACCCAATGTGTGTTCTGCCCCTCCCCTACTCTTTCACATGTGAACACCTCACCTCTCTCACCAAACTGAGATCTCTTTGAGGACATCTGCTACATGTTCTAAACTTCTTTTGCATCCCCTGTGGCATTTCGCCCCTGCTTTGCACTAAGTCCGTGCCAACTGGTGTGTAAGATTGACTGCTTACGACAAACCTTCAGAAGTTCTCATGTGTTTATTTGCCATCTCACGAACTTTCTCCCTCTATTAATTACCGTGTGGTTATTTGTTAAGCTTATTTAAAATAGGTGTATTCCTTCTAGGCTTTTTGGCATACACATAAAGCACAAATTGGTGAGTCAGATTGAAATCACCAATTAAAAAGCCCTTCAGGGAAGAGTGAAGCCAATTCTGTCTGCAGACCCACAGGGGATCCAGGCTGGACCCCTTCAGCCCCACCCCCTCCTCTCTCTCAGACCTGTGTCCACTCCCACTGGTAATCACCAGACACCAGACGTTCCTCTTTCGGCCCCGCCGGGAATACACAAATACCTATGGTTGGCCCCCACCCGAACAGGAGCACTATAAAGTCCTTACTGTTATGTATACCTGTGATTCTCAAACTTCAGAAAACATCAAAATCACCTGGGGGGCTTATTAAAACATGAATTGCTTAGCCCCAGCCCTAAAGTTTCTGACTCAGTACATCTGGAGTAAGGGCGTGAGAATCTGCACGTCTAGCAATTTCCTAGCGATGCTGGTGCTGCTGGTCCGGGGGTCACACTTTGAGGATCACTGGGGTGCTTTCTCACTTTGACCTGTCTGTCTGGCTTTGCCCCCTGCCTTGTTCTGACTGTTCGTGCCCTAGTCACTCTCCTGCTCCAGGCTGCTCCCCTGCACGCTGGAGCTGTCTCAGCCACTGACCACACACATGGCCGCCACCCCTCTCTGGCCTTTCCTTATCCTAGTCTCGGGGGTTGAGAGCCAACTCATGCCCTTGCCCCCAATTTCTTGCTTCCTCTTCAACCCCATTCCCTCATTTTCTCCCTTTTTCCTAAATCTTTAGTCCCTTCCTCTGACCTACTCAAATATCCTCAAATCTCTGCCACCCATAAATATATAGACATAAAAATGTAAGCAGGGTGCCTGGGTGGCTCAGTCAGTTATGCATCCGACTTCAGCTCAGGTCGCGATCTCACGGTTTGTGAGTTCAAGCCTCACGTTGGGCTCCATGTTGACAGCTCAGAGCCTGGAGTCCGCTTCGGATTCTGGGTCTCCCTCTCTCTCTCTCTTTGCCCCTCTTCTGCTTGTATATATATACATATATAGTGTATATGTATACATATATATACATGTATATATTGTATATTTATATATATGCAAACCTCTCCCTGACCCTGTACTTCTCTGCAATTATCATCCAGCTCCACCTTCCCTTTCTCATTCAAGCTTCAAGAAGAAATCTCCATCCCTGTCTTGGCCCTTGACATTATTATCTGGCTTCTAACTAGGCTTCCAGAGTTTCTCTTCTAAGGTTGACTGAATTGAAAGCAGTGAGTGCCCTGCTTTCCTTATCTTTCTGGACCATTCTGCCACCCTTCCTACTTTTTCCTTCTTTCCTGAAGTCTCTTCCCCTGAATTCTGTGATGCCTCCTTCCCCTGGCTTTTCCTGGTTCCTCTCCAACTATGTCCTCAATTATGTTCTTCTTCATGTCTCTCTTCCTCCTCTGACCACACTTCACCTGTGGATGCTCCCAGGCTTCTGTCTGGAACCATTTAGTCCAGAGCTCCCCAACCAGTATGTCAGGAATGAGGATGATAGGAGTTTCCAAGATATTGATCCTCCCAGGCCATGGGAGCAGCCTGGTCTGCTTATGCTGGTGTGCGGGACGGTATCGTTTCTTTGTGTGCCGTCACGTGACTCCACCTTTCAAGCACTCCCCCCTCCCACCAGCAATTCCATCCTCTTTCCTGATTCCTTTACCACCAGCGTCATGATGGCTCCAGAACTTATGTATCCAGATCGATCCCATGGGGAAAACTCGAGAATCACCCTCGAATCTTCCCTCTTCTTTCTCTCCCACACCGAAATAATTTTCAAGTGTCTGCTCCTTGCCCTCCTATCTACTACTCAGACCCCATTATCTCTTGCCTGAATTCTTCTAGAACCTCATGACTGATCTCCCTGTGGCTTTGTGATTCTTACATCTACCCTCCACACAGCTGCCAGAAAAGCCTATCTAAAATGCAAATCTGACCGTATTGGCCCCTCGCTTAAAAGCCTCCGTTGATTCTTTGCCGACAGGATGAAGTCCAAACTCCTTTGCCCACCAGAAGCTTCATGACTGAGGCTGTTTCTTTCCTCTTCTGGCCTCCCTCCCTCACTCCCTCACACACCTTGCTCTGTTCCTGCCTCCAGGATTTTGCCCCTGTGGTCCTCAATGTCTGGAATATTCTTGCCCACCTTCCTATCGCTACGCAGCATCCCTCCAGCCTGTGTTGTCCCCTGCTCTCCCAGCCCCTCCCCGCCCTCATAAGGAATTGACACATCTGTGTTTTTCTGAATATCCTAGGCGTGACTCTGCTGTTGCCCTTAGCACATTTGCGCTACAATTATTTTTTAAGCTCCTCTCTCCTCCCACTAGATAGCAAATTCTTTTGCATCCCCAGCTCTGACGGGATGCCTGACACACAGGAAATACTTCAATGCATCATTGATGAGTAAATGTAGCCTTAGGCTTTTCCAAAAGCGAAGCATACACTCTAGAATCAGAGCTTAGTTTCCTTCGCAACAAACGTAAAGTCATCAAGTTTTAAATTGGAGGCTGATTTGAAAGTACTTCAAGCCTCTTTGAGTAAAAGATATATAGGCCAAAATTAGACCCTGTTAAAATTATACCGAAAGGACCATTCAAATAACTTTATTTTGCTGAAATCATTTGTGTGGTGGCTTCATTTAAACTAAATGATACATTGCCTTGGAACCTAGATTTTTTTTCCTCTTAATTTTGTATAGGCATTTTGTATAACACTTAATAGTTTGGCATATTTTCATATGCCTGTCTTATAAAACGCTGCAGAGAGATTTTACAGACAAAGAAAATGGGCCTGAGAGGTTACGATTGTCCCGGCGCAGTGACTAGAGTAACATGTGCTCACGTAGGCACTGCTTTTTGGGCCAGCAACCTCTTCCATCCCATGGGTCGCTCTGCTTTTGGTTTGGATTGTGTTATTTTTTCCTTTCTTCCTTCCTTTTATTCTCCTTGTGATGGTATTTGACTCATAAGTCAAATATATCCTAGACTATCTACCAGTTTAAGCAGATTAGAGAATATTTTTGGTGATATGTGTATACATGTGCGTACACGTGGGTACATCCTGCCTAGTGCACTGATACCGAATCCAGGTGGCATTGCTAATACACCAGCAACAGCTCGGTTAAAATGAATTGAAACTATCCAACCTACAATAGAACAGTGATTTCAGACTTACAAAATATCTTATAATTCCTGCAGTTTAACTACGATCTATTGCTTGAATGCTTTCTCCAATTGACTAAACAAAAGGTTCTTCTACCGTTGCTTGACCGTCCTCGCTAACAAGGAACTCACTATCCCCAGAAACAGAGTTGTCAATTTCAGAACCTTGGGGACACATTTTTCTCTATAGTCTGTTATCTCTCTGTAATTTCTTCATGGTAAAAAATAGCTAATTTTTCCAGTTGTTAGGGTTAGAATCTGACCCACGTCTGGATCCCAGCTCTTATGGCTTATTAGCAGCTATGAGACCTTGGCAGATAACTGAGCCCCAGACTTCAGGTCCTTCCTTTTTAAAATGGCTCAAGTGAGGGGCGCCTGGGTGGCGCAGTTGGTTAAGCGTCCGACTTCAGCCAGGTCATGATCTCGCGGTCCGTGAGTTCGAGCCCCGCGTCAGGCTCTGGGCTGATGGCTCAGAGCCTGGAGCCTGTTTCCGATTCTGTGTCTCCCTCTCTCTCTGCCCCTCCCCCGTTCATGCTCTGTCTCTCTCTGTTCCAAAAATAAATAAACGTTGAAGAAAAAAAAAAAAAGTTTTAAAATGGCTCAAGTGAAATAATGCAAGTAAATTACTGAGCACTGTAATATGTTCAGTCGGTGCTTGTAGTAAGTGCTTAACAAATATTTGTTGAATGACTGAACGACTCTTCCCTTATCCTTGACCTAGTTTCAAAGCAGCAACTCCCCGTGTCGAAAGACTGTATTTTCAAAAATAAAAACTGCTTAATTTAGTGCAGTAAACAGGAACACATGATTTTCTTCTCAGGAACCCAATCTGAAAACAGTCGAGGTGACCTGCTCACCCACATCAGGTAGAAATACAATACGGCAAGAATACTGTCACTCCATAAACTGAAGCATGCAAATCTAACTTTTGCATCAGGTAATAAGTTGCATCTGATTCCTGTCTTGCGATTAAAGCATAAATTATAAGCCTTCCCGGAATAAATCTTGACAAGTCAGAGTACAAAAAAGAGGACGCTTTGAGGAGCTGTTGCGTAGAAGATGGAATAGGGGGGAGTTTTTTCTGCCTACACAGAACTTGGATGAGTTTCTATCAAGGAGGGAAGACTAAACGTCCTCTTTTGGAGCCACTGCAAATTCAAGAAGTCTATCATTGCAGTGAGCAAACAGTGTCACAATTGTCAGGCCTTGAATGCGTCCCTGGGGAGGTTAACCTATTACTCTATCCACATTTGATTGTTACTATTCCATTTGCTTAAGTCACAGGAGACTACAGCAAACGCGTGTATCAAGGCGTGAGAGTGAAGCACACGGTCAAAGACTTACTGGCGGAAAAACGATCCAGGCAGACAAGTAACTCAAGATTTAATGTAAGTCTCGATTTAATTCATTCTGAAGTCTTTGGGGGCCTCAGTCCTCTTTGAAAGCTAGTTATCTCCGCTCTTTCCTCTTGAGTCTCATATTCTCAATGGCAAAGCCCTCATTTACTTAGCACACACTATATAATTACCATTATTAACATTATTTGGTACCTCATTCGGTTAAGCATCTAACTTCAGCTCGGGTCATGATCTCACGGTTCGTGGGTTCAATCCCCACGTTGGGTTCTGTGCTGGCAGCTCAGCGCCTGGGGCCTGCTTCAGATTCTATGGCTCCCTCTCTCTCTGCCCCTCTCCTGCTCCTGCTCTGTCTTTCTCTGTCCCTCAAAAATAAATAAACGATAAAAAATATATATTGGGGTACAAATGTCAACCCATGGGCAAAAACCTGGAGAGCTCTGTGAACTTACTGGCTGGCTGTCTCAGCTCATGGCAAAGAATGGATGATATGTCCTGACTTTTTCATTTCTCCCAATCGTGAATTAATGAAGGCTTAGCTGGTGGGGACAATGCTAATCTTCATCGACACGTTATTCTAAATCTGATGGAGACAACTTAGAAAAACCCTCCGTATAGCAAAATCAGATGGAAATATCCGAGTTGGAGATGTCTTAAGTCTGAAACCTCTCTATCTGCCATCCATGTCTTCATAAATAGCTCTACCCTGCACTTAAAATGTTTAAGTAGTTGCACCCAGATCTCCAAAAATGCTCCTAGAGTGGAAATAGCAATTAGCTAGCAAGATGGGTTTATAATCACTTAGTCTATTGGCAAAATGTAACAACATGAATGTCAGGCATCTGTCGTGCGTTGCTGGATGCAGGACATGAGAGCAAATGTGGTAACGATGTACAGCGCCCAGCACAGGGGCTGGTACACAATGGGTACCCGTTCTTCCATTGTGGCTGCTCAGGATATGGGCACTGCATCCAACGCTGCTCTGGGATCAAATTTCTGGGACATGTTTCAAATGAACCAACTCCAGATCCTGTTTCCTCCCATCCAAGAGCTTTCACTGCACATCTTCTGTCTTCTTTTATTTTAAACCACATCCTCTCTTCTGGTGCAACAAACGGAGCTTAGCTGACGAAAAGAAAATCAAAATCATCGGCTCCTTGTCTATTCCTAGTACAGTGTTTCTTAGTGGCTGCTTAGAGTCATCTGGGGTGTGTGTTACAAATATCCATGCCAATTTCATATCAAGAAACGAAGAGAGAGAGAGAGAGAGAGAGAGAATTCAGAGTCTCTTCTAATGAACCACAGCTTTGTGGAAGTAATGTGGATGTCTTGGCCACAGCTACAGTCAGAATTGTGAAACCTAATGGGCGTTCTAGGCATTGGGAAGACAGGAATCACAGTGATGTTAAAACACAGTCAAGGAACAGATACTGTATCTGCCCAGTGTGCGTGAGGCTATAACTCACTCCTTGGCGTCATCATCATCATCAAGATATACATACAAAGATAAGGCACTATCCCATCCCAGACAGAATTACAGAAGAAAAAAAAAAAAAAAAAAACAAGAAATCATAGTATTTCCAACTGGTATATATAAATATATTCTTCTTTTTAAAACTACCTAACAATTTTTGCTCAAGATCTGTGACTATCAAATAGTATGTTTTCTTTAATTTTTGATGTTTTTACTCTCTCAGTGCTATAACAATATAAATATAATTCATAATAAACATATTGTTTGATTTCATTTTAAACTGCAGATTCCTTGTCCCGTCCCATGTACAAATGTGGAGATATTGGACAGGAGCCAAGGAATGGTCATTTTTCAACCTGCCCCTTGGCCGATTCCTTTGCTCGCCAGAGGTTGAGAACTTTACCATAGAGTACAGAGCAGGGGTTCGCTCACACAGCCAAGGTTCTTATCTCCACCCAGATTACAATTTGCTGAGCTATTGCTGTTGGCCCTGTGACACTGAAAGGGTTATAGTGAAAGTGGATACAAAAAACACATAATACATGGTCTATGTCATTAAACACCAAAAACCCTGGTAGAGAAGAAAATCTGTGTATCCATTTAAAAAATATAAGACTAGGGGCACCTGGGTGGCTCAGTCTATTAAGCGTCTGACTCTTGATTTCAGCTCAGGTCATGATGTCTCGGTTCGTGAGTTCCAGCCCCGTCGTGCTCTGTGCTGACAGCATGGAGCCTACTTGGGATTCTCTCTCTCTCCTCTTTCTCTGCCCTTCGCCCCACCCCCACTCAGGTGTGCTCTCTCTCAAAATAAATACAATTTATTTAAAATATATATATAAGACCCTATAACCAAGCATCAGACTAAAGACGAAAGACCAGGAGCATAGCCACATGCTAGGAAGACTACAATCCGGTTTACAGGGCACCTCTTCATATGTCGTCTCATCAGACAGACACACGAACTCTGTGAGATTGATATTCACGTGGTTTCCCATTGAACAGATGGAAACAGTGAAGAGAAGAAGAGATGGGAAGTGATTGTTCTCAGGCTTCATAGTTAGCAAATGGCAGGTCTTCTGGCTCCTGATTCAACATTTAAAAGGGACAGATCACTGGGATCTGAGGTAGAACGGTCCGATTCATGTTGTCTTAGTCCAGTTGGGCTATTGTAACAAACACCACAGCCTGGGTGGCTTATCAACAGCTAGATTTTACCTCTCCGACTTCTGGAGGCTGGGAGTCCCAAGTTTTTGGTGCCAGCGTGGCTAGATTATGGTAGGACCCTCTTCGGGGTTGCAGACTGCTGACTTCTGATTATGCCCTCATATAAAGGAAGGGTCTAAGGAACTCTCTGGGGGCTCTTTTATAAGGCCTCTGATCCCATTCATGAGGGCTCCGCACTCATGAACTACTCACCTCCCACTTGTTAATACCATCACACTGGGCATTAGGATTTCAACATATGGATTTTGGAAAGACACAAACATTCAGACCATAGCATATTCAGACAAGGAAAATCAAAATATAGGAAAATATATCATCGAGAAAGAATTTCTAGGACAGGAAAGGTGCAAAGCCACCCTAATTCTGGTACTTACTCTCAGGCACCAAATGCATAGGCTGCATGAACTTAGCCTTGTCTACAGGTTTGCATATATTTTTACCTGGGTCTCAACACTAGTGTATTACTCGTATCCTCTACTCGAATGACCTCTTAAATTGGGGTAATTAAATGTCTATATTCCCAAAATATGGTTATTTGGGCTTAAGTTACCTCCATGAATTGATTTCACTGTTCATCTGTCAACCACTATTCTAGAATATCTGCGTATCTCAAGAAAGACACCATATTCCTTAGAGGTCCTATTACTGTCCTCATTGCAAATGCTAACCTGTTCAGCAGGAATCATGGAGAATCACATTGCTGGTGGGCACTTGGGGTTCTAACTGGATGGATGATTCTGAGCCTACCTTCTCTTTTTCACGCCAATACACTAGGCAGCTCTGGGTTGAATATCTTGAATATGTTTGGTTAGGGAAGCCATCCTAACAAGACCATGTTCAAACTTGGCTACTGACAGCATGGGTAATAACCAATCAGAGGCTAACTTGAGGAGGTTGGAGACCCTACCATGCGGTTTTACCATAGAGTGTGCTGGCCAAAAAGTGGACCCTCCCAATGATCCCACATCAAAACGCTGGAACCTATGAATGTTACCTTATGTGGCAAAACATGTGATTAAGTTAAGGATCTTAAGAGGAGGCACTTACTCAGATTATCCAAGTAGATTTTGTCTTGCATGACTCTGAATGCAATCCCATGCATCCTTCTAAGAGAGGGTTTGAGAGAGACACACGCACAGAGGAGAAGACACACAAAAGAGCAAGAGGCAGTGGGGTCAGGAGGCAGAGGCTGGAGTCATGCAGCCATAAGCCAAGGAATGTGGGTGGCCACCAAAAGCTGGAAGAGGCAAAGAATGGATTCTCCCCTAGGGTCCTACAGGGAGCACAGACCTAGCAACACGTTGATTTGGGCTTCTGACCTCCAGAACTGATAGACATTTCTGACTCTTTAAGCCACCCAGGTTATGGTCATTTGTTACCGCAGACCTAGGAAGCTAATGCACATATATGATGAAAGCTACTTCCCTCTGGATAAGTATCCTTTAGGAAGTATCCATCTGATGCCCAAATTGGTGTTCTTTTCTTTGCGACAACACTTTGATAAGTTTACATAGGCTGTGTTAGTCCATCGTTACCGCAATTTCCTTCCAGAACATCTGTTTTTGATACCGTGAAATGTTTTAATGTTTTTCACATCTTTGCAGTAGGAATCAAAAAGAAAGAAATCCCGTTCACCAAAGAGATTTTCACCAAAGACTGGACCTAAAACCATTTCTATACAACTTAGCCATGATCCTGTGGTTTCACACTATTACTGTGGACATCTGTTTTTAAATAATGGTTTTTCTCTTTCTTCCTCAAATCTTTCTGGGTCATCCTTTACCACACTCCTACATTTTCTAGCAGAATATTTAAACTGTGAGCCATTCACCCACATCTAGTACCAAAAAATATAAATAATGAGACTTTTGATGTAGGTTTTTCTTGCATGTTTTTTCAATTACACTATTTCACTTGAGTTTCATAAAAGCAAATCATTGAAAAATTTTAATAACATCACAAAATTTAGTTAACTCTCAGTTATTTATAGTACAGGAAAAAAAGGATTTAACAAGAAGATGCAGTGAGGCTCCTAGCGACAATTTTTCATTTTGCTTTGAAATCCAATGAACAATTTGCAGGCTATTGAGCTTTCTAATCAAGTTTTTCTTAAGCTATCATAAAGATTCATTTAAAAGCCTTGAGTACATAACAGCTGGCATGAGGGGGAAAATTTCAACTTACTAACTAGGAAGCAGAGATCAGTTTGCAGTAAAAATTGTGCCGCAGAATGGGGACTTACAAGGCAGTTTGGAAGAGATTATGAACAGCCTGGGATCAGGGTCTGCTGTTCAGTCTATTTTATTGGTTTATGGACATCCTAATCACTCTCTTG